TTGCTCCTGTGTTGTATGATTTGGTACAGTGTGCGGATTTACTGGAACACACATATCATGTCTTCACAGAAACGCCTAATTTCTTTCAAGGCAGTGGCAGCAGAAGCAAAAAGACATGTGAGAGAACTACCATCCTCGGGTAGTCCATACTACATGTTTGGCAGAATCCAAGTCTGTCCCCTGCAAGGCTCTGAGCCCTTGAAAGCCCCTCCTCCCAGCCCAGAGCCCTGAGCATGATGCTTGGGTCCTGACCCTGTCCATGCAGCAGAAATGCCACTTTTCTTTGGGTTTCTGCCTTAGCGTGTAGCAGCATGAATTGGCCAAATATATTTCTCAGTGAAGCCTTTCTCTTTACTTTATTTGAAATTTGTTCATGGAAATACACTTTGATTCTCCCTGTTTCTCTGAGACTTAAAATACACCCTACTCCCTAGAATTCCTGTGAGAATTTGTTCCTCTCTCTTTTTTTTTTTTTAAAGATTTTTTTTATTTATTTGAGAGAGAAAGAGAGCACATGAGAAGGGGGAGGGTCAGAGGGAGAAGCAGACTCCTGCTGAGCAGGGAGCCTGATGCGGGACTCGATCCCAGGACTCCAGGATCATGACCTGAGCCGAAGGCAGTCGCTTAACCAACTGAGCCACCCAGGCACCCTGTTCCTCTCTTTATTGAAGCCCTGACCACACGTGTCTTGTGTTATTACAGTGTGTGTGTGTGTGTGTGTGTGTGTCTGTGTGTCTGTGTATGTTGTACGTGCATGTGTGTGTTTTACCTCAGTTACACTATAAGCTCCTTGAGGGGGTGGTGCCTGGGTGGCTCAGTCGGTTAAGCGTCTGCCTTCGGCTCAGGTCATGATCCCGGGGTCCTGGGGTCGAGTCCCACGTCAGGTTCTTGGCTCAGTGGGGAGTCGGCTTCTCCCTCTCCCTCTGCCCCAGCAATATCTTCCACACAACAAATACTTAATAAATGTTTCCTAAATGAACAAATCCTCCAAAAGCATGAGTTTTCATCTGGGCCCCTTTGTAAGGAGTGTCTAATAAATGCGCAATGTGAATTCCAATGCAGTGGTTAAAAGACAGCTTTGCATTAAAAATTTCCTGCAGCATCGTTATCGGAAATTATGCTGGAAAAGTAAAAACCAAAAAGCAATGTAAGAACACCTTATGTGACTATTTCATTCAACTTTTTAAAAAATTAAAAAGCAGCAGGCAGGAACTAGGTAATTTGTCTGCTCTGAGAGTTCCTGCTTCTCTCTCCGAGGCTCTGGAGGGTGAGCTATTTCCCAAGGGATCAGCAGCTCCGAAGCAAACCTCGAGGTGACTGCCACTTAGAGAAATCGCTGATAGCCAGGAGGGTTCTGCTTCCACAACTGGAGGAACATGTGGGTCTGTGGGTGACAGAGCTGGGCTCGGCCACTCTGATGGGTACACACAAGCCCCACTGTCCCCTTCCTGTCGGTGAGCGGCCAGGTATCCGTTCCGGGTCTTTGCTTTTCCTGAGAGAGGGCCTAGGATGGCATAAGGGAGGGCCTGTGGCCGGGGGAGGGGGGGTCTGCAATGCTTCGAGGGGAAATGTGCAGAGAGGCAAAGACTGAGGAGAAGGCAAGGTACCCCCTTTGAAAGGTCATGTGGGCCACGTCAAAGAGTGAATCTCCCAGGGGGGAGATGACAGGGTGCTGAAAGTTTGAAGCAGAGGACTATGATGACTCCATTACAGTCTGGTAATCATTCTTACAAAGAGTTCAGTAGCTGAGCCGCGGGGCTCACCCCCACACCGGCTCCCACGGGCACCACCAAGGAAACATACATTCTAACTTGGAAGCAGGTTGGTTACATCACCGCAGCAGAAAAATAAGAACTGGAATAGCTAGGATTTACTGAAGCTTCCTGGGTGCCATGCACTATTCGAAGTGATTTTACAAATCACCTAACTCGTGGTAACGCTGCGGTAACTCGTTTAATCTGAACAAGAAGGAATGGGAACTTGAAGTCACACATCTAGAGGCGGTGGCGCCGGGGCTCGAACCCACGCGGGCTCGGTCCAGGAGCCACGCTCGGGACCTCAGCATGTCTACCGTCCCCCTCATCACCCCAGCTCCCGCTTGCCACTGGGTTGTCTCCCCTCGGCCGCTCCTGTATAGAAATCCCAGACTGCAAACAGGGGAAACTGTGAGGAGGGCACTGGAAAGATGCTGGGGAGACGCAGTGGTGACCGGGGACAGTGAAGACAGAAATGAAGAGGTGTGAGAGAAATGAAGGAGCTGCTCAGCAGGACTTGATAAAGGAGAAAATGCTCATTGGACACCAGCCCGGAGCCTGGTGCATGGTATTTCTGATGTATCAAAATACTATAATGTTGCTATTATTACCAGTTGGGCTAGTCCCCAGGATTAAGTCATAGCTTTTTTTTTTCTTTAAGATTTTATTTATTTATCTGTCAGAGAGAGAGAGAGAGCACAAGCAGGAGGAGTGGGAGGCAGAGGGAGAACCAGGCTCCCTGGGCCCTGGGATCATGACCTGAGCGGAAGGCAGACGCTTAACGACCGAGCCACCCAGGCGCCCCAAGTCATAGCTTTTAATAACAAAGGTACAGCAAAGAGCTGCAGGTAAACTTTTTTATGGTAAAAAGCAATATGTGAATGGCCCTTTATGGATTATGCCACCCACCGCTATCTACTCTGATCTGAAAACAACCCTTTTATATTCGTTTGCTCGGCCAGGCGCGCTGTAACAAAGACCCACTGACTGGGTGGCCTAACCAGAAGAAATGTGCTCGCTCACAGCTCCGGGGACGAGCCTCCCCTCGTCGGCGGGGTCGCTTCCTTCGGAGGGGGAGGGGGAGTCTGCTCCAGGCCTCCCCGCCAGCTCCTGGTGGTTTGTGCTCCGTCTTGGATGTTCCTGGGCTTATAATCTCTGCTTTCATCTTCATGTAGTGTTTTCCCTGGGTGTGTGTGCATGTCTGTGGCTAAATTTCCCCTTTTTATAAGGACACCAGTCCTATTGGACTAGGGGTTCACCCTACTCCGGTATGACCTCATCGAACGAATTACATCTACAAAGACCCTATTTCCAAATCAAGGGACATTCTGAAGGACTCAGGGTTTGGACTTCAAAATGTGAATTTTTTGGGGGGGGGCGGACACAACCCCTACCACCCTTAGAGCAGGTAAAGCAGAAATTACTCTTCTTCCCATTTTAAAGATAAAGAAACCGAGTCTCAGAGACATGAAGTAATTGAAGGTAAGTGAGACCCTGGGTCCCAAAGTCAAGTCCACTCTCTGGCTCAGCAGTCCGTGCCTCTTGCTGAGATTGTGTAGCTGTTCTGCCACACTTGGAGGCTGTCCCGAGGCGTAGGGAGAGGGGGAAGTGGTCAAATGTGGTCTCCTCTTAGAATCAATGGCAGATACCCAATTATTAGAAGCATCATTTGGCTTATTCACTTGCTGCCCCTACAGCTGCACCTCACGAGGGCTTGACCTCCAGGGAAACCGTTGACTCAAATGGTTTCTTGTACGTCTGTTGTTTCTCTCCCGTGGGCCCATCCCCGAGCCAAGGGGAGCTGGGTACAATGAGCCTATTCAGGGCAGAAAGGCAAACGTCCCGCTTCCCTGTTCTCTGTGGCACCATTCTTTGCCTCCCTGTGCCTCTCTTTTGTCCTGCTCTTGAGTAACATCAGTGTGGGCGTGGGGACTGTGTGAATTGCCAGCAGGGAGAGAGTGTGGCCCAGGACACCTGCCTGATGACTTGTGCACAAGGGCGGGCAGCAATGGGCTAGCTTCCCAGGAGCCACTCTGCCAACACACCAGCGCCGACCTGGGCCTTCTGTTCCACCCGAGTCACTCTCAGCAGCTAAAGCTGGTGCCCCTCGAGGAGGCTGTGGGGAGTAGATGAGTGCAGATTCCAGAGACAGATCCCGTTCCCAGCTCGGCCACTGACCAACCATGTGCACTGAGGGAAGATGCTTAATCTCCCTGTGTCATTTCCTCATCTGTAAAATGTGGATGATAAATGTGTTTACCTCATAAGGTTATTGAATAGATAAATGATATAATCCATAAATGGTGCCTAGAACAACATGTCTGCCAAGTAATTCTAGCGCTCAGCAAATGTAAACAGTACTTCCTTATTTTTTCCCCAAATGTCATTTGTTAATCTGTTCACTGAAGAAGGGCAGGGATACATCTCAAGAAGCTAACCACGGTTGTGTCTGGATGATGGAATCACAGGTTATTTTATTGTCCTTTTTTAAACTTATTTGTAGTTTCTAAACTTTCTGTAAGAAATACGTATTACTTTTTATAAGATTTTATTTATTTGACACAGAGAGAGAGCACAGCAGAGGGGAGCGGCAGAGGGAAAGGGAGAAGCAGGCTCCCCACGGAGCAGGGAGCCCGATGCGGGGCTCGATCCCAGGACGCTGGGATCATGACCTGAGCCGAAGGCAGACGCTTAACGACTGAGCCACCCAGGCGCCCCCCTGTATTACTTTCTTAAAAAGAGAAAACAAGGATCTGAGGATCTGAGGATCTACAGGGTTCAGGGAACTAGGGACGAGTGGGTACAAGCATGACCATTGTCCTTAGTGTAGTGTGAAGTCTATGGAAGGAGACAAGACAGGCAGATCAATGATGGGCATTGATGCTCCATGTGGGCTGAGTAGGGGACCCGTCCCCCTCAAGTCGCACCTAGCACTCCAGAGATGTCATCAGTTTTGCCCCAGCCATCTTTGTACGGGGTCTTTCCCGATCTGGAAATAAGACAGTGAGATGATACACGGCGTCAGGTAAAGGGGTCACTCCTTTCATCTCTCCCAGAACCCGGGGAGATGGGGATTGTCGAGATCCCTGCCTAAGGCACCTCTTTCTAGGAAAGGGTTTACGGTGCAGACAGAGGTCAAGATGCTTTCAGTAGCACCTCTGACAAACGACACACATGAACCCCAGTCGCTAGGCAGCATGTCAAGTGAAATGAAGAGTAATTTCCTGTTTCTCTATCTCTCCATAGCATTATTAGCATCATCATTATTTTGGCTGGAGCCATTGCCCTTATCATCGGTTTTGGTATTTCAGGTATGTGATTTCTCGCGTTACCGTGACCCACTCACCCCTCGCCGTTCCGGCCTGACCACTCCATGGGGCCAAATGGGAAGAGTGCAGAAAAATCTCAGAGTAGAACACTGGTTCTTCTGCTTATTGGCTCCGCTCTCTTCGCCTTAGTCTTTCCACCCCCCTGGGCCTCGGTTTCCTCAGGTATAGGGCCAGGAGATAATGTCCATGTCACCGGGCAGTTGAGAGAACCAAACGGGCGTCCGAGGGAAAGGGCTGTGGCTGAGCCACTCTATCAGGGCTTGGCCTGGAGGACTCCTGCTCAGTGAAGCTTCTGCTGAAGTGTTCAAGCATACGAGGTCTTTGCACACTGGGGTCTTAGGGAAAGAGAATACTGGTTGTGACCAGTGGAGGGAACAGGCGCCACTATACGTGGAGGGTGAGTCTCTGAGCACAGCTGATGTCAGTTGCAGGAAGAGTCTTGTCTTTCCTCTTCTGTGTGGACCACGTCTTGGAAGCATCTGTTGTGGAGGCACCTTAAGTAAGACATTCAGTGAGGTAGGCCAGCAGCTGTCTTCTCTGAGGCAAACATGTTTGCTCCATTTCCCTTAAACCGCCTGACTCCAGCCAACATTTCTATTTTAACTTAGCCCGCGGCCAAAGCTGTCCCTTTGCGACTTTAGTTTTTATAGTTCCAGCTGCCTTTTCTCTCTGTTCCTCTCCCCTGGCGTGGGTGTGCTGCCACCAAATCGTGGTCACAAGGCCTAAATGAAGAAAACACATGGTAGATGTGTTTGCCTTCCTCACTTTCTTTATCAAAAATAGGTATTTTGGGGCACCTGGCTGGCTCAGTCAGTACAGCACGTGACTCTTGATCTCGGGGTGGTAAGTTTGAGCCCCACACTGGGTGTAGAGATTACTTTAAAAAATAAAATCTTTAAAAAAAGTTATTTTGTCTTTCATCCATTTTTCAATTGGATTATCTGTCTTTCTCTTTTTGATTTGTAGGAATTCTTTATATGTTTTGGATGCAGTTTGGTTATATGCATTGTAAAGGCTCTTCTACTCTAGGGCTTTTTCACTCTCTTAGTGATGTCTTTCAATGAGCAGAAGCTCTTAATTTCAATCTAGTCCATTTTATCCATCTTTTCCGTTATACTGGAGCTTTTTATAACCTATTTGGTTAAGAAGTGTTTGTCTATCCCAAGGTCATGAAGATGTTTTTCTAGGTTACCTTACAGAAGCCTTATTGTTTTACCTTTCACATTTATATCTATTAAGCATCCAGAAGTAATTTTGGGTATGGTGCAAGATAGTGGTCAAGATTCACATGTTCCACGTGGCTCTCCAGTTGACCTAGCGCCATTTTTAAAACCACTGCCCTTCCCCCACTGCTCATCAGGTGCCATTTTTATCAGAAATCAAGTATCTAAATGTGTATGGATCTGTTTCTGAATGTACTTGCCTGTTTCATGCTAATATCCCTTTATAATTCATTTTCTTTGTTATGTTATCTCTTTACCTAGTCCTAATCTTCGGCACTGTGTGTGTGTGTGTGTGTGTGTGTGTGTGTGTATGTCTCCTCTTAAAGCAGGTTTATGAGGTCAACAGTAGTTTTGAAAGAACCAGGTCTACGTTTGATTTTTACTTTCTCTGATTGTTTTCCTATTAATTTTGGCTTTTATCTTTTTTAACGCCCCTCTCTCTGCTTTGTTTGCTGTCTTAATTCTTTTTCCTAAAATCTTAAAACTAAGCACTTTGGAAAAGAGTATGTCAAAGAAGGCAAAAAATAGCTTTTAGTAGATACCGTCATTCAGTTTTCCAAAACGATTTACCAGTTTACTGTTCACCAGAGGTGTATGAGAGATCCGGTGCTCCGTGTCCTCACCAACACTCGATATTGTGGAATCTTGTTGTGGCTTTATTTTCTATTTCCTGGTGACTGAGGAGAGTGAGTACATGTCCATACGAGAAACATAATGTAGAGTGACAGAGCCAGACACAAAACAGTACATTCTGTATAATTCCATGTATATATAGTTCAAAAACAGGCAAATGAATCTCTGCTATTAGAAAGGCAGGGGAAGGGGGGGTAGCCATTAGGAGCACGAGGGGACTTCTGGGGGATAATAAAGTCCTAGTTCTTGGTGTGCGTGGTAATTACGTGGGATGAAATTGTGGTAATTCTTCAAACTGCACAGTCACGATGTGTACATTTTTATGTATGTATGTTATACTTTAATAACTCCTATATATACACACATATGACATATATATTATAAAACGTGTATATATATTTTTGGGAATACAATATTAATAAAGCGAATATTTTGGGCTAACTTTTAAAGATATCAGTGCATACATCTCGGTGCCTTCCTCACTAATGCTTAATTAATTCTTCCTTAGTTATAATTTACCCTATTCTGGATCTTATATACTACCTTGAATTAAAACCCTAGTGCCTGTCCTTCACTCTAAATCTTAGTGACTAACCTTTTTGGGCATAGGGCTAAATGGCTTGGCATCAGAGCCCCTCTGGAATTATGTCTTGCTTGTCAGGGGCTTTGACTACCCTCGCAAGAATGTTCATATTGTCCCAGCTTCCCTGGGAAAGTCAACACTTTGCCACTCACACTTTTTCCTGTTGAGTAACTACGGTGACCTCAGGTACTTAGCTCAGTTCCCTGAAGAGGGTACTCCCTAAGTGTTTTTTGAATGGACAAGTGAAGGGATGCTTGGAGAGGCAAATACATAGATAAAAGCTAGTCTATTCAGTTCAGCAATATCCACTAATAATATTAAAACCCTACCACCAATGAAGAGGTTTTCTGCCTCCTTCCTATTTCATGGGGTAAGAGCTGGTTGTTTTGGATAAAATGGGCTGTTTATTAATTTAACACTCTTTAGTTGGATTTTTCTCAATTGCTTTTATTAAAAAGACCATAACCCTTACCTGAGGGCATCATATTATCACACTTCAGATAAATTCAATAAAATGTTAGCTGGCTTAATACATAAGGCAGTGAAATTAAGGAAATGCCATTATGTAAGTGATGGTGATGGTATCTTTTGAATCCTTCGTATGTACTTCACTGTACTAAATAGCTCGGCATACATTATCTGATTTACTACTCACAACAAATAGGAGATAAGCATTATTACTACATCCTGATAAGTACTCACCCAAGGTTGCACACGTCTAGCAGGTGGGACAGTAGTTCCAAGCCCTGATAATTTCCTTCCAGAACCCTGCTACCCTGTGCTGATAATAACATTCATACAGAGTTGTGGCAGAGAAGGATGTTTTCTGATTTGCACTATTTTCTGATAGGTATTATTCCTGAGACCACAGCTTTTAAAGACATAGAGATATTCCTAAATACAGAAAACAATTCAATTACTTTGAAACTCTCTTCAGGCCATATATGCCACCTCCTCATAACCATCCTACTCTTTATGAGTACAAAATATGGATGCCATAAAACATAAAATGCACTTGAGGTGGAGTATTTGAGAGGATCCCATTAACCCCTGCTTATAGGACAGCGTTTGTGGATGACCCTTCGAGAAGGGGGGAGATATGTGGAAAGACCCATGACCCTATTTAGCCCAGTCCTTGTGCTATCACTCACTCACCGCATGACCTCAAACGGCTCTGTGTAAGGGAAGAGTTTAGGAATCTGACAGAGACATTCTAATCTCAGGTCTGACACTAACTGTATGTCCTTTGGGACATAACTAACTTTCCAGAAATAGTTTCCTTGCTGGTAAAATAGAGCCGTTGTGGGAATTAAATGAGAAAAGTGTTTGTGAAGTACCTGGCACGTGAGCATAGAAAATGGCTGCCATTGTTATTTATATTGGCAGCATCCGTGCCATTAATAATAATTTGTGATTATTAATGCGTTTATATAGCACTTCCTAAAACTTGCGCAATTTCCACTGGCCACACCATGGCCGACTTCCTTTGAAGTTAGAGAGGCCGGGGCAGGAGGCCTCAGGACACTGCCTATCATAATAGATGCTGCATCTTTGGACACTGGATAAGCCAACCAGGCATGTGCTTATGGCACCAAAACAGAAAACTGAACAGATTGTTTGAAGAGTGTTTGAGAGAGAGAGAGAGAGTTTTTTTTTAAATTGTAATCATCTGAGAAACAGCTGTTGGCCTTTCTTACTTTTGTTTTATGGTTTTCAGTTGTTTTCATTTTTACGTAAGGTGGGGATACCAATCTCTATGTATCTCAACCTGCCCATGGGTATCAGCAGAATGTGGTAGAGAGAGGACAGGCTTAGTTCCAGACAAGACCGTGTTCAATACTGGCTTCACGACTTGCTAGATATGGGGCTGTAGGCAGCGCTTTGCTCCCATGGAGCCTCTTTATCCTCATTTATAAAATGGGTATCATGGTAATTCTTACCTCTCATGGTTCTTACCAGGCTTAGAACGAGTCGCTCTAACTGAAGCACTTAATAAAGTGTTCCTCTCTGCCTGCTGCTCTGATCTGCAGCCTTTCCAAATGATTCTAGTTAATAATGGTCATCGATACCATTAAGACCGCTAATACGTGGCAAGTCAGGTACTGTGGTAAGCTCTTTACCTGTGTTGTATCATTTAGGCCTTTCAGGGACCAACTGAGGGAGCCTCTAGCTATCATTAACATCTTCATTTTATAGATGAAAAAAAAATGATGAAATAAAGCAGTTAGAAAACGTGCCCAAAGTCACATATCCAGGAAGTGATACAACTGAAACTCGAACCCAGACCGCCTGGCACCTGTTCTCAAACACCAGCTGCTTCCCACATTGTTCCTTCCTCGAGCCCAGCCCAGCATCCTTCCTAATTTCTTCTCACGGAAGCAACTATTACCCCCAAAGCTGCTCTCTCCTCGGGCATGAATGGCACTCATATTGGAGCCAGCTTAAGCCTATGTGTTACCACCGTTAAGCCTTGTGCTATGGTGTCTGTCTAGATGCCTGGGCTCCAGCAGGTGCTGAGTGGCCACTGCTGAACGCCTCCAGTA